ATGGCCGAACATAAATGAACTTTAACTATATCATGATCAAGACTTACTCAAAACTTAATTTAACATGACTTTAGCTACAACCAGAATAAATGATCCGAGGTTACCTCTCGAACGCTCGGCTATAACTACTCGGAGCTCAAGCATCCGCGTGCGTGCGACAGTGCTTCCGTGCGCCTGCTACCCTCTCCGTGTGCGACGTGTTGTGCGGTATGCGTGAGTGTTTGCCAAACTCTCCCTCACCTCTCTATACTTAGTATAATTTCTGAATACATAGGTTCAAAAGGTGGGAAAAATAACCCAACTCCTTGCCATATATATAAGTTGGCCGAAAGGAATTTGTGAGGAAGAAGTGGTACAAAATTGGTAAATGGGACACTTGGCTCTTGCTAAATATGCTTAGTCACATAACTCATGGCTTAGTCATACAATAGGCTCTCAAAAAGTGGCACCTCAAGCTTGATATATAAATGGAAATTGTCATGTATTGTGCTTAGATGCTCACGACATTTATTTAAAACCAATTGGAGCAAAATGTGAACAAAATGATCATGACTTGAAATTTAACATGCCTCACGGCATTATTAAATTTAAACATGATTATTGGCTAATTAAGCTTAGTTAATGAGCTTAATTAACTAGCTAATGATGCTTAACTTCCTATGGCTTGATACGGAATTACTTATCTAATTTCGAACATAAACATGGCTTCGAAAATAAATTCCAATATTCATGACTTGGACGATTGATCTGAATAGTGACATTTCAGATAATTCGTCAACTTAACTTATTAATTCCTAACTCATTAAAAAAATGAATTGGAACTAAATCTGAAACTCATTCGGTTACTGGGATAATTCACCGAATAACGTATCGACTAATAGTCGAACTTGGAATATAACTAGCTGATTAACTTGAACTTGAACATGGACATGATTATTTATTAACAAAGGCTAGCTTGAAACTAAAAGCTAGTATTTTCCTTTATTAATAAAATACGGGGCGTATACGCGCACCCGTCCATCTTGCGCCCGCGTACTCCCAGCCAAACCCGCGTGCGCGGCTTGTTCGCCCACTCGTGTGCATCAAGTGCCGATGCACACCTTTTGCCTTTTAGCTCCTCACTAGACTCGCTGGTCCCTAACTCCACTTACGTATCATTCCCCTCCTCTTCAAGACCTTCCTTGTCCCCAAGGATTAGAAAGTTCAGCTTCCTAACTCGACCATCCTCGTCATCCTCATCAGGTGACTCGCCTGGATCCTCAGTCCTCAACTTGACCCTCTTACTTGATCTCCCAAACTCCATAGTTCCTTTCCTATAATCAGTTGTGATTGGACCAAGGGTCTCCAACCACTGGCATCCAAGTACTATGTCAGTCGCCTTCAATGGCAAGGCATAGAGATCCACCCTCATCTTTTGACCTTGAGCCTTTAACTTTACACCCTTGAAGAGAATATCTCCCCGAAGTGTTTCCCCGTTTGCTACCTTGACTCCAAAAGGTTTTACCTTGGTGAATGGAATCTCAATTTCCTTGGACAACTCCTCATCAATGAAGTTTAGCGTAGACCCACTATCAACCAATACTTCCACCAATTTTCCTCTCACTTCAGCCGTGAATGTGATCATCTTCGGACCACGTTTCTTTCTTTTGACCATATGCAACAAGTACTCCTCTCGTGGTTCTTCTTTTTCGCAATTATCTCCAATTTCCAACAAAAATACTTCCTTACCCTTGCACTTGTGGC